AACAGGTCCAATACCAAAAAATTCTGGCCTTTAACCAAAAAAAAATTGCAGGGGCAGCTTAAGATTTTCTGGATTCCCGGAGACATTATCCCTTTCAGTGACAGATGTGGAACAATACTTTTTGGTTTGCTTGATCACCAAGAATTGTTCAGCCGGCATTCGTCCGTTCACAATGAAGCCATCTTGAAAGAAACCACGATGAGATTCAGACTAAAACTATCACGCGATATTTGGATCTGTTCAACTCATCTGTCAAATGCAAACCCAGCCTTTCAACCTCTCCCAGAACCAAACACCCGTGGATAATCGGATTTGGATAGAAATTGAGCTTTCAAAAAATGGAATCTCACATGTCCTCAAGCAAGGATCATTGGTCGTGTTTATACTCAAAACATCTCAAAACGTTTTGTATAACGGAAAACCAATTTCTCGGAGTACTTCACCCAGATTCACCAAACATTATGTTTTGCATCTGCTTGAGTTTAGGGCCTCAAGAACTGGTTCATTCTCATTAGAGCAAAAGGCAAGCATTGGTTTAGCGAATTCAATCCTACTTTTATCGGCTGTAAGCAATTACATCAGGTAGGTAGATAGATAGATAGCTAGATAGATAGACAGATAGATTAGATAGATTAGATAGATTAGATAGATTAGATAGATTACATAGATTACATAGATTAGATAGATTAGATAGATCAGATAGATCAGATAGATCAGATAGATCAGATAGATCAGATAGATCAGATAGATCAGATAGATTAGAGATATTAGAGAGATTAGACAGACTAGATAGACTAGATAGACTAGATAGACAAGATAGATAAGATAGATAAGATAGATCAGATAGAGCAGATAGATCAGGTAGATCAGATAGATCAGATAGATCAGATAGATCAGATAGATCAGATAGATCCGAAAGATAGATAGATAGATAGGTAGATAGATAGATAGATAGAAAGATAGATAGATAGATAGGTAGGTAGGTAGATAGAAAGGTAGATAGATAGACAGACAGACAGATGGATAGATAGACAGATAGACAGACAGACAGACAGACAGATGGATAGATAGATGGATAGATAGCATAAGATAAGATAAGATTAGATTAGATAAGATAAGATTTGAAAAGATTTGCAAAGATTAGATAGATAGGTAGATAGCATAAGATAAGATAGGATTAGATTAGATAAGATTAGATAAGATGAGAAAAGATTAGAACAGATTAGATAGATAGATAGATAGATAGACAGACAGACAGAGAGATAGATAGGTAGGTAGGTAGGTAGATAGGTAGATAGGTAGATAGGTAGGTAGCATAAGATAAGATAGGATTAGATTAGATAAGATTAGATAAGATGAGAGGTTGATTAGAACAGATTAGATAGATAGATAGATAGATAGATAGATGGGTGGATGGATGGATAGATAGATAGATGGATAGATAGATGGATAGATAGATAGATATAGATAGATAGATAGGTAGATAGATATATAGATAGATTGGTAGATAGATAGATAGATAGATAGATAGATAGAATAAATAAACAAATAAATAAACAAATGAACAAATAAACAAATAAACAAACAAATAAATAAATAAATAAATCAAAATAGATAAGATAGATAGGACAAATAGATAGATGGGGTAGATAGGACAGATAGGACAGATAAGACAGATAAGTCTGATAAGAGAGATAAGAGAGATAAGATAGATCAGATAGATCAAATATATAAGATAGATGAGATAGGATAGGATAGGATAGGATAGGGAAGGATAGGATATGATAGGATAGGACAGGATGGGAAGGGTGGATCGATAGATAGATAGGAGGTAGGTAGGTAGGTGTTGTACCAGGAGGAGTTCAACGGACTGCAATCGCGCTTAACCCAGTCATTCAGAAATACAGAAAGCAAAACCACCACACAAATGCATGTTCAGTGTCAAGTCCATGTAGTACTCAAACAGCTGGTCCGGCTTGAACTGCCCTGGATGCAACCCACAGCTGACAGACGGGTACAATACTAATGGCCATGACAGAAATTACCACGTTTCACTTTGTTTGAAGAATTTGACTTCGGGTCATGACAGAAGTTTCCCAGCTCCAAAGACTCTGACCAGATCTGCATTGAGAAGTCTCCCTTCTCCTGCCTTGAATTTGGTTTGTTCAGTGCTGTGACTGAATTTTGACAAATGCAATCGTCTTTCTGTATCATATTCACATCGGTGTGGAGAAACTATCCAAAAACATTGAGCCCTGCCCCGACAAGCACCTTTGTATGTGATTGTCCTGCAAGACAGTGAGCATACGAACACCTCCCTGGCTCGCAGTGCGACGGCACGGCGCAGCAAAAACAGTCTTGTCTCCAATGGCAAGCCTCAGCTGCTGAGCTGCTGAGTTGCAGTGTTGATGGGAGAATTCCTGGAACCTCTTAACCTCCGCTAACAAAATGTCTCAAGAATCAACATCACCCAATCCATCACCGAACCGCTGTCACTACTAGTCACTACCAACCATTTGTTTATATTCATATTTATATACTATCTATATATATATTATGTATATATATATATATTATGTATATATATATATGTATATATTATGTATATATATATATATTATGTATATATATATATTATGTATGTGTATATATATATTATGTATATATATATATATTATGTATATATATATATATATATTATGTATATATATATATTATGTATATATATATATATATTATGTATATATATATATATATTATGTATATATATATTATGTATATATATATTATGTAATGTATATATATATTATGTATATATATATATTATGTATATATATATATATTATGTATATATATATTATGTATATATATTATGTATATATATACATACATACATATATATATATTATGTATATATATATTATGTATATATATATATTATGTATATATATATTATGTATATATATATATATATATTATGTATATATATATATTATGTATATATACATATTATATATATATTATATATATATATATTATAGTTTATATATATATATATTATGTATATATATATTATAGTTTATATATATATTATTATTATTATTATTATTAGTATATATGTAATGTATATATATATATTATATATATTATGTATATATATAGATATAGATATAGATATAGATATTCAAAATCTGGTAAACCTGCTATCACTCCCAGCACCAAGTCGGTTCCAAGGATCCCTCATACTCACCGGGGGAAGCCTCAAAATACAGGGCCACGAAGAAAAGGTCACTGTGACCACTGTGAACAGTTGGAATGAAGACTCTATGCTAAGAAGTTCTAAGAAGCAAGTTGAAGTGCTTGCAGTCTTGGCCTAGAACTACCAAGTTTGCAGGAAAAGGTGGCAAAATCCTCTTCTTGAATTCTTGAAGTGTCCATGCCTAGAGGTGCAAAGGTATCTTGTTTCTGCTGCAGCACTTGTCAAGTTGGGTGTATCGCAGCAAAGCTTTGTGTCAGCCACTATTTCAAAGAATAGAAAGCCAGGAAGACTTTGTCCAAGCTACTTGCACATCTTGAAACATGTTGAAACATGTCGCAAACATTGGCATCCATAGAATCCATAGAAATCCTTTCAAATTGACCCAAGCCCGAACTTCTAGTCCCTGCCAGGCCACCTTTGCCTTGCTTGTTGCACCCTCACTGCCAGATTCTGGCACCAAACTCTCTGCCATACCAACAAAGACCTGCCACAAACCAAGCACTCTAGACTATAAGTATTTATATATATATAATTATATGTGTATTCACATAAGAACTGTGTCATTGTGCAAGTATTATATTAGTATGTATGCATTGCATATTTATATATATATATATGTGTATGTATGTGTCTATGTGTGTGTGTGTTTGTGTGGCTCACATGTTGCGTCAAACAAGTATGACGTACTTTCCTGAAATGTAAAAACAAGAAAATGTAACACCATTGCCTGTGCGACAAAGGGCTCAGTAGACTTGGCATAGGGTCCCAGCACAAGGGAGTTCACTGGCAAAGGCTTTCGCCAGCCGATGACCTGTTGAAGGAAAGGCCAAAATTGCTGAGCTACATGGTGTTTTTGAAGATACGCTTTATAGGCCCTATACTAATACTGTAGGCTGTATGAACGATGAGTTGGGACCAAAATGGCCGTCACGCTAGTAGATAGTTGTCGTAATGGTGATGAGTTGAACAGATATTAAGAGAAGGCTAACAGCGGCTAACAATGTGTTTGCAATCGCCCGCTTCGAATTCTAGGAGTCCTAGTGCACTCCTCAGCCCAGTGGAGGCCGGTTCTGTGTGCGGCACCTCCAAACCCAAACGACGGGCCATTCGTCCCACCAACTTCACTGCGTCTTCGCGCTTGTCTTCCTGCGCAACATAGGCAGCATAGCCACTAAAACTCTTAGGTGCCACACGAAATCGAAAGTCAAGTGCTTAATAAACTGGAGCTGTCGTAACGTAGAACTGGCCAAGTCATCTAAGGTTTGATCGAAACTTGTCAGGAAAAAATC